TTCTTGACATTTCCTGCTCCCCGATGAGTCCTTGCTTCATACATATAAAATATTCCCTGCTCTGATGCTGTGACGTACTTGATTGAGCCCAACTCCTCCTCAGAGGTACTTGAGAACTTGTGGCAGGATGTCCAAAGGTACCTGATACATGAACAAACAGAGCTAGTACATCAACAACAGTAAATAAAAAGCAGCTTTGAGGTGAAAAAATAAAAAGAAGTAGTGCAACATAGGAAGTCACAGCATTCTATCAGATATTACTAGCCATTTACACTGCCAATGCTAAGGTCTCTACAGAAAAGTTTTCTTCTAAATTCACATAGAAAGGTTCTCTGGGTAACATAGATTCAGAGGAAGAAAGTGGGAAGAGTCTTGATCAAATTTCAGTCTAGCAGAACACTTATTTAAGCATATTCCTGAAGTTAAGCTATTTTTTCTCCTCAGCTCTAGGCAGAAGATGCAAAGAGAATAATCCCTTGTATTTCACCTCTTGGCAGACTCTGAAGCAGGTCAACCCCAGAACATAGTGGCTGGTTAAAAAGCACAATTTAAATGAATTAAAATGATGCATTTTTTAAAGAAGCCATATAGTGACCATTTATAATAATGAAAAAGGCAAAGTAGTCAGGGATGAGACTGCAATGAGTTTGAAAGACTGCATGATGTATTAGTGAAATAATAGGCAATCACACAATTAAGTGACAGTCCTTTGAGGCAATGGAAACGTATATATGGTTGCAAAATCCTGCCTTTGGCATTTCCCCAACTAGATCTTTAAGCACCCAACCTTTTTGTATCCAACATCATTTTCTGGAGGAAACAGGTTTGAAAACTGCAGAGCAAGCAACAGGAACGGCTCTTGGTGCAGAAATGGACTGAACACCTAATGAATCTAAAAAGAAAAAAAGCCCAGAACACTGAGAAGAGATGCAAGAAGACTGAATAGACATCGCTGTGTAAGCAAATATAACTAAATATACTCTTGAGGAACAAAGGAAACAATTCTTGATGGGGTGACAACAGATGTTCTCCAAAAAAATTGTAATGGAGCATTTCAAACACAAAGACCTTCCTGTGGAGCTGAGAAGTTTTACTGGCAGACATACAGTAACACATCTTTGGAAACATAATAAAACCTAACATTTAAGGTGTTATCAGGTCCTGAAAGCAAAAGTGATATCTTCTTGTAAAAAGTGGTGGGTGGTGGTGGAGAGGGAAACAGTCAGGATAACAAATTTCTGCCACAGGAAGCTGCCATAGCATAGTTGAGATTTCAACTGCAGGAGGAGTTAACTAGTCAGAGAGTTTGTTCTAAAATACCTAGCTGAAGATGTCCTTGCTCACTGCAGGACTAGATGACCTTCAAAGGTCCCTTCCAACCAAAACCATTCTGTGATTCTAAGATTCTATCTCTAAACCCACTCTTTTGGAAAATGAGCTCTAAACACAAGTGAAAGATCCAGAGGTTGCCCCCAGTGAACAAAGAGAAGCCAGAGTAATATGTTCGTACAGTAATCACACCAAACTACAACCACTGCTGCACTGTGTGGGTGAATGCAAAGTGCCCAAAGCTGCATGTTTCTACCAGCTACTGCTCTTTCAGATCATGGTTAAGGACATTGCAGAAAATCCTCACATGGACATTAAAAAAAAATATATTTAAAAAATGGCAGGTTTATGAAGTCATTTTTGCAATGACTGAACTGCACGGGTACTTAGGGCAGATTTGGGTTTAACTCCTGGCATGGGTCTGCAGCATCTTCAGTGAAAAGTTTTATGCAGGTTTTAAAGGCTAGGCACTTCAAATTCTTTTTTTAAACTCTGGCCTTTACTTTTTATGTTCTTTATTTTTACAGATACAGAGTAATACTTCTCTGTCTTGTTGGAATGTGGAAAGGATTCCTGAATATCTGCAAGGCCAGCAGATATCATTGTATCTGAGAACGAGGCAGGAGGATGACACAGTACATTGTCTTAACTATTTTTCTTGCTTTGCAACTGTTTTTGGGAAAACAATCCAGAGAGAAGATTATCCCAGTGCAGTTAGAGCCATCAGAAGTACAGAAACATAAAGATGGACAATTTGATTGACAGGAGAAAGCTGAAGCAGGCGGCAACACAGAAAATCATCCTAGGACAGACATCTTGAAAATCGCAAGGCCAGCAGATATCATTGTATCTGAGAACGAGGCAGGAGGATGACACAGTACATTGTCTTAACTATTTTTCTTGCTTTGCAACTGTTTTTGGGAAAACAATCCAGAGAGAAGATTATCCCAGTGCAGTTAGAGCCATCAGAAGTACAGAAACATAAAGATGGACAATTTGATTGACAGGAGAAAGCTGAAGCAGGCGGCAACACAGAAAATCATCCTAGGACAGACATTCTGATAAATATTACTGCAGCCAATTTATTATTAACACAGTGGGACAGCTTTACATCTTGCATCACACTTTTCACAGCCCTTATGGTAAACATGCTGGATCTGACAATTACAAGAGGAAAACAAAGACCTCACTAACTCTCTCCTGGCCCTGCAGTACTATCTGTGTACTCAGTTAACCCTCTCTAAACTCCAGCTCAGCAACTGAACAAACATATAGAAAGGCAGAGATGAGTGTTCAGGTACAGAACATATTTCCAACAGCATCCAAGTTCCACAGGTTATGCCATCTGTGGCATTAATTCCTAAAAGACTTTACAGACAAAGGAAGGGTTGAGAAAGAAGTGGGAAGTTTTTAGTACAAGATGGAGGATCAAGTGGAAAACTATCTAAAGGAAAGATAAATTTTTGCTAGGGCTTGAAATATTGCCCTGTCTGGTCACCTGTGGCTCCACCCTGACTGCTGTGACAAAGCAGTGCAGCCCTGACAGGAGCATGCACTGGGACCACAAGCCAGAGAGCACCAGGATCAATGAATCCCACAGCAGTTTTGATTTCCTCAACAGGGTGACATATGTTTTGATTCTACAGGAACACTGTAACTTGCAATAACAAATCTTTCTCTCTGCTGGCTACTTGTTTTCCAGGATTAACAAACTACCTGATGGATCTTAGAACTAATAATATTTTTATTTGAGTCACACAAAAAAGCTCCTGTATTCTTTTATGGATAATGAAGCACAAGATGGATTGCTGAAGATGGTTTGCACAAGATGGATTAAGTCAAGCCCTCTGCTACTTGTACACATGGAGGCACATGTTAGAATGAAATCTAGTGTGATGAGTTGCCCAAGTCTGTTTTTTTATTATAATGTCCATGGTATTTTCCTCTTTTCACAACCATATTATCAGCTTCAAGGTTAAAAAACAAAAAGCAGGCAAGTCCACAGGATGATCTTAGCCATGGGATTTTATTTGATTCAAACATTTCTTTTCCATCCACTTCCTGTCTGTATTTGAAAGTATTTCAGGAAACAAAACTGACATGCACAAAGAGCATTCAGTGAAAGGAAGACAAAAGGGAGAGGCAACAAATATCAGGCAAGTGAAGGAAGCTAACAGTGTTCTTCTCTCAGTGAACCCACATAAACCAAGTAAAACACACGTTAACAAGTGTCCCAAAATGATGCCTTGCTTGCGTGAAGGAAAGAACTAATGTTAAGCACAAAATACTCCTTATGGTTTGTTCTCATTAAGTGACATGACAGGTTACACTGTTTTGGAAGAAAACAGGACCTCTGTTCTGTGCACCAGTCAATGTACATTTAAGAGACTAAAAAACACAAACTACACTTTTGAAAATCCATTCAGGAATCCCATTTTTCTATCATTCCCTTAAATATACCATTTGTTGACACGTTAATAACTTTCTGAAAGTTTCCTCTGAAAAGCAAAATAGTAGCCCAAATTTTTGAAAAAAATCTACACTAAAGTTTGTATCACATGAGTTTCTCACTCAGTTACTGCTGGTTTTCATTAGAAGGTGAAGGGAATGTTTAAGATTGGTCAAATAACATGAAGATTCTGTTGACATGTTTTCTGCCTCTGTGTGTATATGCTGCTCTTTAAAGGAACATTTTCATAAATCTTGGTTGTCCTAAAGATTGTGGCCAAATAACTTTGAAGGACACAGAATTTATTTCACTGAAGCACAACTGATTTAAAGTAAGAACCTTTACAAATTCACTTTTTGGACATTCTGTAGCTGTAAACCACACACACCAATTTCTTTTCAGAAAAAGAAGGAATTTATTTCACTATGGATAGTTGCAAGGGAGGGAAAAAGAAAAGTCAAAATAAGCAGGATGATTATTTCTCAATCTAATCTCAGAGTATCCCAATATCTACCCTCAATAAGCAGGATGATTATTTCCCAATCTAATCTCAGAGTACCCCAACATCTACCCCCCTTTTTTGTGATGTGTCATCTGCAGATCTATTTTTTTATGCATCCATAATTCTAGTGTTGATCAGCACTGACCGGATTTTGTAACTTGCCCAAAAATTGTCTTAAAGCTTTACAGAAATAATGATTTTAATTGACAGAATTTCACAGGATACACCAGCACAAGACTTAGGGCCACCTGAATTTTAACTGACTGGAAGGAAAGGCAGTTTCTGTGGTTTGGGATATTGAAGTTCCTTTACAAACTGTCATGTGTAGTCCTGTCCCACACATGCTAAAACTTTATCAGTTTCAGTGGAGTAAAGACCAGCCTAGCTGTTCTGAACAACCCTTTCTCCACCTCTCTGTAACCTCCTAAATTATACTGACAGATGCAAAACAACACCAGTGCAAACTGCAGAAGTCTGCACATTTCACAAATACCCAACTTAGCAACAAACTGTGCTCACAGAGCGGTCACAAAGAAACCTGGTACCTTCAAGGGAAACTCACTTTATGAATTTTTGTATTTGATCATCTTTGTTCAACGTACATTTAACATTCCGTTCTGATGAAGTGTTATTAATTAGTCATCAGCAATTTCAGTAGACGACTGGCTCTGTCTGTAAAAATAAAATGCACCTATGCATTTGTGACACTTACAGCCAGGGTTAAGGGTAGGTCTGCATTTTCCTGAAGGTTGCATTGGTAATAGTAAGCCGGGTCAGCCTTGCTCCATAGTAATCTATGATGTAGCTGGAGCCATCGGAAGGTCCGACGATCTATGTGGGGGAAAGAATCAAGGCTTTTCAACATGAAGTGAAATATACACTTTGTGCATATGTCTCAATTACTGCTAATTTTCCCATCATAAAATTAGTCATGCTTAATTAGTCAAACAGAAACTAGATTTATTTTGAAGTTATGCTGTAGTTTAACTATTGTAGCGAGCGCTGTCTCAGAAGGTACATTTCCCTGGGGCTTCTAATCAACCAAATTGCAGAGCCAGGTGCTGGTACTGGGTTAAGCTGAAAAGGATTTGAGGCAAAAAAATCAGGCTAACAAATGAGTGGGCTCCAAACCACTTTTCTTCAACAAAGGAGGGTAGGCAGGAGAGAATTAGCTTGATGACAAATATCTTTGAAATAGTGTGCAGGTAAGGAGTGGAGAGAAGGAGAGAAGATCATGGCTTTTTTGTTCTGGAAATGCTAAATTGATGTGGGGTCACCAGGGAGATGAATAAGGAGACATGAAAGGTACTCTCAACTGTGTCTGTAAGTGATCTGAGGCAAGACCACTTAAACAGCATAGAAAGGAATTTGAGAATGCATATGCTTTAAAAGATGTATACACAAAGATGGTATTTTTCTATAAACCCATATAAATTATTTCCATATCCACAGTGTGCTTTAAGTTCATCATTGGCCATTTGTAATTCATGCTAAATGGCTGCACTGTAGAATAAGACAATTTGGAAGTTTCATGATGTCACAAGACGTCACCCCAGCCACAGCTCTAAGGTGACACAGGACTTGTATTTGGAGGAGAAAAGGAAGAAAAGAACTGGCAATGTCTCCTCTCCTGCACACTGCATGGACAGCCCAGATGATGGGCTCCAGCAGCATAAAGCAAATGCAGAACTTCAGGATTCTAGGAACACCAGGACATCTCATGCAAAGTCCAACACTGCATCCCATAAAGAGCTCACAGGTTTTGACAAAGTGAATTTATGGTGCCATCGCTTCCAAGGTATTAATTACATGTATTTATAGATGGCTAATAGAATTTTTAATTCAAACAACCAATATATTGATTACAACATCAATCTACAGAGCTAAAATAAAGGCCTTGGTTTTTCAATGCATAAAGGTTCTCAAGACTAGAATGCTAACAAAGAATTAGGAATCAAATCAAAGCTTTGGAAACACAGTTGTATCTTGTTTTGAAACTGACTTACCTGCATTGAGATAAGTATGAAATCAATTAGGCTACCAATTCCACAAAATCCTACAGTGCAGAATTTTAACAAACCTAAAAAGGGAAAATAAAATTTAATTGTAGCTTTAAGCCAGTCACTATGAAGTTCATGGGTTTCTGGTGGCAATCACATCCCAACTCTCTCCACATCCCACAATATTTATACACACACACACACAGAAACAGCCCTAAAGTTAAAGAACTTCATTTATCAGGAATTATTAATATTTCTAACATCCTGAGTACACTTCAAATATGCTAAATATTAACTTTTTTTTTTAACAAATATTCTTAAACAAGGAAAGGCAAAAGTTGATAAGTCACTGGAAATTATCCTTTCTCTGATTGAGGCACATAGAGAAAAAATCACAGCTGGGGCTGCAAAATTTACTTATGAATAGAAACAGACTTTCTACCACCTTCTGAGTTGCAGCACATACTGATTTGATTTTTATAACACATTACTTTGGACAACCATCCTTTGTACCATTTTTATATTTTTGCTGAAACAGGAATTTATTTTCAATATAAACATACATATATATATAAACACTTTTTAACTGGTATGCAAAAATGTTGGGTTTTATACGAATAAATGAAAGATTAATAGAAAATCTATGGGAACAGCAACTAGATAAATGTTTCATTGGAAGTTGCCATGTAAGGCAGACTTAGTTTGGAAAATGCCTTCAGAAGGAGGCTGTGTTAGAATTTTTATATTGTTTTAATACCAGTAGTTTCTTGAACAATTAATATAATGCAATGAGTACTATCTATATTGCAACACTTCTGCTGAGCTAGATGAACATCTAGGTTATTTTGAGAATGAGATACTCCTTGTGAAGACTTGTGTGCCTTTACCCAGGCATAGACAGGATGAAGAAGAAAGTGTATCTGTTGCATCTAAGTAAGTTGTAGGTTATGTTGTACAGGGAAAACAGTTCCCTGCTAAAAAACATATCCTTACTGTGCTTACAGGGGCCAGCATGCTTCTGAGGCAAGAGAGCAGCAGGTTGGTGACATCAGCCAGTGTGGCATCCCAGAGCAGCTCTTCCCCAAAAGTCGAGCTGTGCTGCACAGAACCTGCCAGTAAAACCAGGCAGCTGCTTCCCAAAGGATGAGCCTGCACTCAGCCAAACACCTGATGCTCTCCTGTCCTTCACCTCCTCCTTTGTGCTCCCCACCTCCCTCAGAAGCAGCAACCTGTCCCACATACCACCTGTTCTCCCCCATGCCCTGTTCAGGAGGCTGCACATGGAGGAGAGCAGAGGAGGAAGTGCCTGCAGCTGCAGGGAGAGCAGCCCATTGTCTGGGTGTAGCTCCCACAGCTGACAAGATGAAACTAGCCTGATTTATAAACTCCAGGCAACAGTTTATAATCTCTCTATGGAACATCACAGTAGTCAGAGAGACAGGGAAAAACACCTAACAACCAAAAAGATGAAAGAGTAGTAGCAGGATTGTCATTCAGTTTATCAGAAGAAAAGCCAATGTGCATATCACAACTAAAGTGCCCCTTACATGTGCAAAAACCAAGTATATCATTGTTTAAAACAATTTGTTCCCAGTGGCTGAGACTTGCAGCAGCCAGACACAGCCTGGCTAACAGTACTGGCAGTAGTATAACAAAATGTAAGGGGAACAGACAGCTAAAGAAATGCCAGCCTTGGGAAACAACAGCTAAGATGATTAAATTACGTCAGACTCTGGTGAACAGTCTGCTTTGTTATTACCTGCACAGAGTTTAGTCATTCAGAATATTTATTTGGGATGCACTTCATACCATCTCCTCTCAAGCTCTGGTCCTGAACCTTATTGCCAGATGGCGTTTCAGGAACCCAGCAGTTCTCTTCCCATTGCTGGTTCCAGCAGCAGCTCCTTGAGGAACCGACTGCACCATTAAGCTACTGGATATACAAAAACTGTTCCTGTACCTGGCATATATTTCTGGAGTGCAGCATAAAGTTAAATTTTTTTCTTCCTCCTCACTTCCCTCCCCTCAAGCAGATCACACTGAGAAAATAAACTGCTCTAAAGCATGGAGGGAAAAAACAGTGCTCTTACACCATAGCAACTGATCGTTTAGTTCACAGTGTGAGGGAGAGGAAGAGGTTGCATTCCTGATTCCTTCATAGTCAATAGCTTGTTTGTATTTTTGTGCTCTTTAAGCAACAGAGAAGGAAAAAAAAATAAACCAAAGAGCATTTACAGGCCTCATTATGCTTGCAGAACAGATTTCAATTCTATTACCTTTCTTACCCATTTTTTGCCAAGACATGGATGACCTTGAAAAACCTCAACCAAGCACTGTCAAAGAATCCAATGCATTGATTGTATTGATTTTTACTTTTTTCTTCTCTTTTCTACTCTTACCTATTTGCTTTTGTCTTCTTTACCTTTCAAAATCTTGAAAACTTTACTTTAAGATTTTTATTTTAAGTCTTTTAGCCTTGGTTACTGGATATAGTATATTCCAGCAGGGTTAACAAGCATGAGCTATTAAAAATTCCTAGATAAGAATGGGGGATTTATAAATCTATATTATTACAACATAATACAAAGTAATTACTGCAAATTATTATTCCAAATCCAATGGTATAACAAAAAAATGCACATTATTAGCCACTTCCAAAAAAGTACCATTTTGTGAAACAGACAGACAGTCAAGTGCTAATAATAGAATCTCAGGGAAAAAAGACACAGAAGTTAACACCAAATTATCAAGGAAAATATGTTATTACAAAAAAAGCGCGTTTGCATTTAATGGGCAGAAACTCAGAGTTCCTAGCTGAAGTGACAGTAACATATATAGCTTTTTCCAATTCATTGTTCCATGCTATCTAGACTTAAATTAACTCTATTTGTCCAGCTGAGAAACAAAGCCAGTAAAAGCAGTTCTAACATAGTCAAGTATTTCCATTATTTAAAAGCCTATGACACCATCACCCTGGGAATCAGGTCCTAAAAACACTAACCAGAGGTAGGTGTCATTAAACGCCTTAGCTTTTGCAGAACAGTTTTAATACTATAAGATATCTTGAAGGTATGCATTTGCCAGAATAAATTCCATATCCCAAAACACTAAGTTTAATGTAAACTTTGTCCAGTATTTTCCTGGTAAAATTAAGTATCATTTAAGTAGCTGGCACACAAGTCAAAGCCACTTCAGTTTCAGTGCCTCAAAAAGAATGCTGGGGTAAACATCAATTTGTCACCACTCCAACAGAATAGCAGGATTTTATCTTACTTGACAATAATTCTAGTTGGGAATATTAGAACTGTGACTGTCAGCCTTCATTACTCAAAATATAAGTATACACAGAAAACTCAGTCCTAACAATAAGCTTTACCTCAAATTAAAATAAATAAACTTACCTAAAGCAGGATAGCCTAGATAAAATCTATCTGCTCCCAACCATCCAAGAAATAAGGACAGCGCTACTGCCACTTTGTAGGAGTATCCATTTCTGACAAGAGAAAGAAGTAATGTAGACAACGACTGCAAAAAAAATATTCACTCATAATTCTAAGAATTAAAGTAGTGACTCATTTGCCTGATGCTTCGGTTTTAAAATGAAACCCACAGACTTGTTATTTATCTTCAATTATGGACACAGAATTGATAATGTTAAGCTTTCAAAGTGGGTAGGCTTCCTCTAAAAGCAACCTCAGCTGTTGCAACTCAAGTATGCTCTTGCAGAATACATATTCTTCTGAAACTAAATCATCATTTCTCATCAAGAGAGACAAAATTCAGTTGCTGATACAACCCCAGTTTTACAGAGCACTTCCTGAGAGTTCAGCCCTACTAAGACAGCTGTAGAAAGCTAAGAGGTGTGTGCACACTGTCTGTAGGCATTAGTCTCACACACAGCCAAATTGAGAGGAACAGGATAGACAGATGAGATGCCAGCAGAGACAGTAACTGCAATGAGATCTGAAAGAGAAATGAACCATGGCCACTGGTTGAAGAAGCTACAGAAAGGAATCAACAAAAAGGGTAAGTCATGTATCCATTTCTTACACTCTAAAAGCACAAACTCACACATGAAAAGAACTGTTGATGGTAGAAAGATGCACAGTGGTAGAGAGGTACCTGAAAGTTAAGTATCCCACAGTCATACAAAATACACAGGTACAACAGACTTTTGCAGATTTATACTAATTGGCACCATTCTTTGCAGAATCATATAATCATTCTGGTTGGAAAAGACGTTCAAGAGCATCAAGTCCAATCATAACTTAACTCTACCATTAATCCAGCTCGACAAAGTCCAGTGCTTAAACCATGTCACTCCCCAACACGTCTATACATCTTTTAAACACCTCCAAGGATGATGATTCAACCACCTCCTTGGGCAGCCTGTGCCAGTGTTTAGTTACCCTTTCTGCCAAGTGCTGGCACTTCTTGCCAACAGCTGGAGTGATGTGGCCACCTCAACCACCTGTAACTTTAAGTCATTGCTCATGTGAACTTAACACTAATAAGGGAGCTAGAAACATACAGCTATCAATCCTGGGACCTGCTGCATCCTCTGCTGCATCAGCCAGCAGCTAGCTGCTCAACAGAAAAGCAAACCTAAATGGAATTAGAACTGAAAAAATATTCAATAATTCACTGTTTGGCTACGTGCACTACTATGTGCCAGCAATTACTTAATAAGCCCAAATTAAACTCTTGGTTGACAGTTGAATAAAACATAAGTTTCACAAAGAGAGCAGCTAAGAAAGGTCCAAGCACCTTTATTAAGCACTTTCAATGCCAAATAAAGATCTACCTTTTTGCTTATCATCTAGATTTACTGACTTTAAAACTTAATGGCAACATTAACTGATTAAATCATGACTTTTACCTCAATATTTGTTACTTAGCATCTATTAGCAACACAGAACATACTGGGCTTTCTTGAAACCTAATGTAACATAAATTATCATCTTTAGAACTGTCTTTTTTTTTCACTGTAAAGAACAACAATGGTTTTATTTAAAAGTTGAAGTAAACTGTTGGAAATTGTGTATCAACTACAAAGTGCCAGCAACCCTCCAAGGACACTAAAGCATAAAAAGAGCTCTTACATAAAACGTGGGAACACAATTCAGTTTGAGAACAAAAGCAGGAACAAATTGAGCACGGGCCTATGCATCGAGATGCTTTTAAAAGCAGAGAACTCTGTGATCTAATCAGCATCAAAGTGACAGGCAGAAGAAATCTAAGAGGAGATGGAAACATGTCAACATTGCAACAAGGCTGCGTCCACTCTAGTGTTTCCTTTGCCTTACTCACTCAGAGATAAATATATACACTGAAGACTCAACCAACATAATAATAATGCATCCCAGGCACCTAAAGGAGTTTCTACTTTTTTTTCCTTCATACATCTTTGCCAGCTGCCATATTAAAAACTTCTTCCCACTCTTCCACATCAGCTGATGACATGCAGGTACTGCTGCAGGTCACAGTGCTTTCCGTGTTCTTTCAGAGTTTCCTAGCACTGCTCAAAGACCTGTCCACACTGAACTTCAGAGGCTACCATCTGATGGACTCCTTGCTTAGAATGGAAATACCTGAGCAATGGACGTGTCAAGTCTTCAGAATCAGGGCCCACATGTATTAAGCAAAACACATAGCAGAGTATCAACTTCGGGAATTCTGGAATTTGGCAAAAAATCTACCTCCAGAACATCATTTGGCTTTGCCAAACCAAAGCAATCCTGACTCGTAGGAGTTCTTTGCTGGAGCAACCTTATCAGCACTTACCAGCTTTCCCCTAAACTTGAACACATCCACTTATCCAAACATAGAACATCTCCTGGTCTTGTTCTAAAATAACTGGATCCCAGAACTGTTACCTGGACTGTTGTTATATTATAGTTTTGGCTAAGGACAACTTGCTGATTTGCCCCTCCCAAAAGCTAGGGCTTTAGATTAAATTGCTGTCCCTAAAATAGGACAATCCTGGTACAAGAAGACTCCTTCTCAACCAGTTTTCTGATTAAATGATGTGCAGTTATTTCTACCAAAAGACAGTTACATTTTCCATCAAAACTCAGATAAAATGCTGGAAAAATCTCCAAAAAGCAGTAGCAGTAGAAAGGGCAGGCTCTTGTAATATCAAGCTAAAGATTCCTGCTTAAAATCATCTTTCTAACACATAGGTAACATTCAAAATGCCTCATAAAAGGCTCATATAACGATTAGTGATTAGACCACTTTTTAAATAAGTGTACATATGAAGGATGGTAGTATTAATCTTGCTGCCATTTTTAACTGGCTTTGGGGCTTTATCAAGGGCAGGCTTGCATAACTCTTTCCACATTCACTGTTGTATTTTACTAGAGTTTTCAGCCAGCCCACAAAGGGTCCTCTACCCTTTCTGCCTTACTAGCAGTCATGGACTGGAAAAGCCCCAGCAAGTCCTTTTGATAGCATAACCGTTGATTATTTCATCATAAATAATAGTCACAATCAAGGAACACACATCATAAAAAGGATAACATTCTTCTGTCTATATAGATTTGGTTTTGTTATTCATAAATGTAAAGAAACACTACATTTAAAAAACATTTCCAGAAAATACATTACACCAAAAATACACATAAACAAAAAACTCCAAACATAAGAATTACTGTCTACTCCAAAGAGGAAACAATTTGATTAAACTAGTACAGCTCATCTTATTCTCAGTCCCCACCACAGATGGGACTGAAACACAATTGTTTCTGGACAAAAATGTGACTGAAGTCTAGTTTGCTAGCATTTAAATTTGATTAGATGTAATAATATGTTTTCTTCAATTTGCTGAGCTTTGACTGTTGAGAAGACTAAACACAGAGAAAATATTTATGAAACTAAGAGGCAGAGCTGTACTTCTGAGTTAGGCAAATTATTGAGCAGTAAGCATCAGATCAGAGTTATTTGCCCACTAGTGTGATAAGGAATACCCGGGGAATATTACTGGTGCTTTAATTTCTAAAGACTCCAGTAGGACAAAAGAAAAAGGCTCCTGCATGAATCCCACAAAAAGGAGAAACAAATGGTACTGACAGGTGTTCACTGATCATTAGCACTGGCCAGTCGGAACATTTATTGGTATCCAGAGCTCTCCATTGCTCACAACGTGCTTTAGAAAAACTAGGTCCATCATTTTCATGTTTCAGAAATGGGCTCTTAAAAGACACAGAGGACTTGATTAAATACAAACGGTGTTTAAAAATAGACAATGGTTCCTCTAAAAGAGATGTTTTTGAACTGGAAAGAGGCTTAAACTCCCCCACTACTCAAGAATAGTACAACTTTAGCTGCAGCTACTCTTTAAAGTGCCATGAACCAGCACTGCCACAGAACAGAGCAGCCCAGCTCTCCTTTCTCCACTCTTCTCCTTGAGCTGCCCTCCTCCTTGTGCTGGCACAAGCACCTCAAGTGACTGTTCTGTGACTCCAACTGGGGAGCTGAGCCAAGTTAGTTCAAGCCCAGCTCAGTCCCCTGTAATCAGCAGGGTATGTCAGGGGAAGAGAGGGAGAGGTGTCCCCAGACAGCTCCTCTAGGAGCTGTGCAGATTTCAAGCATATGTGAAATGTAGCCTTGGCATTTGGGGCAAACTGTTGCCAGGGCAAAGTACTTTAAGTAAAGCAAAGGGAAAATACACCAACATAACAAAGAAAAATATGCTCATGGCAGAGAAAGATTTACTTATAAACATGCACATTTTAGACAATTAAGTACTGGGCAACATGTATGATTCTACCTTACTTCTCCTTTTCCTTCTGAGAACACATCACACAATTTTAGAAAAAAAATTGCATGTAGAATACAAAGAAAAATTATGCCAAAAAGAGGCGTGTACTTACACATTGCGACATGCAATAGGCTTGAAAAATCCAACTTCACGTCCTGTAAAGACTTTTTCTATGCCAAGATGATCTTTGCAAGTTATATTTGGTGCTGGCAGACACTGAACTGAGGAGAAAAAATTATCTTAAATTAAGCAGTAACCAAGAGGGTACTGCAGCATTTTTCTGACAAGACACATGTGAAATAAACCAATTAGGTTCTCCTGTGCAACAGTCTTGATACAAAGCACAGTATACACTTTTAAAAATGTAGTTTTTAAGCCAGTCCTGTGACTACCTTGTCTTTTCCCATTACCCATATTAAGCAAAATATACAAACTCTAATCCTGTTTTAATTTCGATCCTGGCTCCATTATGAGTCAATAGGAAATCTGAACCTGACATACAAAAAACATTTTCATCATGGGAACAGCCAAATATCGGAACAAGATGCCCAAAGAGGTGGTGCCATCACCACCCTTGGAGGTTTTCAAGATCTGACTGCACCAAAGCCTGATCAACCTGGTCTGAATTCAGTTGTCAACACTGCTTTGAGCAGGAGGTTGGACTATATGATTTCCTGAGGTCTTTTTCAACCCAAATTATTATTTTATTCTAAACTGAAGCTTGACTCTTAGGAGAAACAAAGTTGAAATCACAGCAAGAAGTGATATCTACTTAAAGTCTGAAATGTATTACCAGAATATTAGTCACTCTCTAATGAGAAGGCTGTTGTTTTAAGGGGAAAATTCTAGTCCTTTACTACTTTCTATCAGTTTTCAGTATTTGTTGAGTCTTGTTGGTTGGGTCCAACAAAACAGCAAGATGGGTTCAACATTTCTTTCAGACTTCCTAATCACTCTGACAGGCAAGAAGACTGGGACTTGGATTATTTAATATCTATCCATATTATATAGGGACCAAAAACCAAACCAAAACAGAAATTCAGACCATCAGTATCCATAATATCAGTAACGACCAAAACATATGAGCTATGTCTGGACTTAACTGCTATAAAGTCCTACATGGATGTTACTCATCACTGTGCCTAATCTAAGACAATCAGAAAAAACCGACAGGTTTTTCTTGCAAAAAACATTAAGCAAAGCAAGCAGTGCTTTCTTTATTTAGAAGAAACCCACAGCAGTTTAAATATATTGATATAGGAAAGACCACAGGTTTCCTGTCAATGTCACGCCAGTAAGACTTGAAATCTGCTACTCAATGAGGCTACTTGGATGCTTTGAATTAAACCCGAATTTGTTTGGGTGATGGATCCCAGAAAGATGTTTAAAAATGGTCGTGCTTCAAGCATGATCCAGAAGGTTCAACTTTTGTATTACTTAGACAATACTGAAATAGGAAGTGACTCAAATACTGCGGCAACAATCTAAAAACTGCAATGTGTGTAAAATATTCAATATAGGCACAGAAAACAACATTAATTAATTTAGCAGCTTTCCCCTCTCTGAAGCTTATCTCCTGTTCAAATATATAGTGTATTAAATACCATCACCTGGTAACTGTCAGACAACTAACAATTTGAGTTGTGATCAATCCCAAACTCCAGAATATTCTTTTTGCTCACTGACTGGACATTAATAATCAGGGACATGATGTCATAAATTATGTAAATGGCTAAATAACTTAAAAAATAATCCATTTTGGACGGTATTTTCATCCAGCTGCTGAAGTACTTGGAAAACCTTCACTATCCCCAAGCATCCCAGTGAAGAAAATTATTCAACATTTATGGAAAACAAAATAAGAAAGACAAGAAGCACTCACACGTATTTTAAACATGACTGCAAAGAAAGCAAAACCATTGTGCCATTGGCTAGCACAGAGGCTATTTATTTCAATGTCTGAAAACATCAGAAAAGCTAAAGATATGTAGTTAACCAAGTGATCAACTTTCGCATTTTTCTGTTGTGCTTCAAAGTACATCAGAACTTCACTTTGAAATAAGGGCTTTCAAACCAGAGCCTCATGGCCCCAAACACTCCTGATGATGGAAGGAACCATGCTTCCTTAATTATTTTTTTTTTAAATAGAAGATTTTGAAGGCTGTCATGTCACATGTCAATTCTGCTAATAATTATATGAAAAATCAGCAAGACAGAAATTGTTTGTTTTAATCACAATAGCACAGGACAGAGCCTAGAAGATATAATATACATGGAAGAGATTTACCAGAGGCCTCACTTACAAACGTACCAATCAGAGACAATGTGTTTATTAATTTTTAGTAAAGCATCCAATCCACACAAGTGTTTTAGGGTTTCATACTAATTATACTGTTAATCCCACGTTTTATAAAGCTCATCTAGCAGACACACAAATGCATAAATTGAACACTTCCTTGGAAAATGTAGCTACTGTCAATATCTGTTGGAAGTTAGAAATCCTTACCATATGCTGTGTGATTTGTACAATTCATTGGTTCTTGTGTACTATTGTCTATTTTGGGCTCATCGCACATATATGTTCAGGTAATTGAGGAAAAAAATTTTTATTTGAAACACTACAAAAGGTTTAACTCATTTATTCCACCCTCTCTAAACCCTGAGGACTTAAGATGCAACTTGATGTCACTTTTACTTCCTACCCATCCCCCAAAATAGGAAGAGCACATTACTATACAGAAAAACTGCTAATCCGATTTAATACACCAATATATATCACATAAGCTCTGTGTTTAATTAGTGCTGCAGTCAGCACTACCTAAAGGAACTACAATATTTATCAGTCACGACCTCTGTATTTGAAGGCAACAAGGTAGCACACCTAATCTAGTCTTCCTATTTCAGTTTCCAGAGTAACTTTAAATGGAGGCATTTGGTTGAAAAGATTAAATCTACAGTAACATACAAAATTCAAAGAACACCTCAAAATGAACATCTGGAACTTCAGGACTCTGAACTCGAAAAAACCTGAGCAGGAACATATTTCCAGAGGTCTGAACTCCCCACAGCCAAGCAGGAGAAGAGTTAACTTTTTTAAAAGATTTGCTTTCTTGACACTTTTGATCTGCAGCCCCATCAATATCCGTCAGCTACCATCAACAACTAATTTCTGGGGAAGGCCTGAGGCGCCTTTGGAGAGGCAGGAGCCTCGCAACTGGAGTCCTGCACCTGCGTCCTGCTCCTCCGGACCGTGGGGAGGAAGACCCAGTATTTTCCAGAGCCACCGCGTCTCCCTCGGCTGTCTTGCAAAAAAACCCAACAAAACCGAGAAGGTGGAGGGGCGGGGGAGAAGGGTTTCTCGCCCCATGGGGTTTTCTCTTTGAAAGCGATCCCACAAGCCTGCATACAGGCCGCACCACCCCAAAAAAGAGGCCCACGCTGCTGCAGACGTTCCCTCTCCCGCTCCTTCCAGCCCAGACCCCTCGGGGCTCCTGACCTGAGCCTTTCCCTGACACCCGAGGGACCCCTCCCTGCCAGGTACCTCACGCCCTCCGCTCCCCCATCCCCTCCACCCGAGGGGCC